ATGCAGCCACAGACCCAGCACAGAGCAAGGATCATCTTCATGAAGACATCATGAGGAGGTGTTACCCTTAAAAGAAAAAAACTAAAAACCACACAAGGGAAGATGAGGAAAAAAAACCCCATCTTATTATATCAACAATGTGACACACTATGGTGTTTATAAAAAAATAATAAAACCTCAAAGTAGAGCACGTTTATTACCCAGAGGAGTTCCTGGTGCCCTCTCAGAGGTGAACAGGATGTTACGCCACCAAAAATCCAAACCACTGTCTAAAAACTATGAGAAAGACATTTTGAAATGTAAAATGTGTAAAATATGCTTTCTAAACTATGAGTACATTTCTCATGAGGAAGCTCTGTCAAACACTAGGCTCATCCAGGAATACAGGGTCACAGTAAAACGTCACTGTTCACTAATTCACCAAAGTAGCCTGTGCTCTGAGAACAATGCAGCNGTGACACAAAAAAGTGATTTTTGGAATTGAAATTGAACTAAAGAACTGAAAGTGAAAGTAATTAATTGGAATTTTTAATACAACAAAATACAGTTTGAAAAAATAATTTAGATTCAAAACTTTAAATTCAGTTTCAATTTAGTAAAAATCATTTTCAAAACCAGCACATTTGATTTTATTATTCATTTTAAATGTTGCCACAATAAACCTACATCATTCTGTCAAACAGTCTGCRGGCCACTTTGTAAATGAAACTAAAGTCATGTTAGTGTTTAGGTTCCAGCTCCAGAAGTACTCGGTGTTAGCGAGTACCCAAACTGAAGTATTTCTTCTTCTCAAACTGGTATCAGGACACCCTTAGTTTTTTGCCAATACAGAGTACTGATACAGAGTAAACCTTTTTAACAAAGTAAAATAAATTTTAGTGAGGTAAAACATTTTGAGTTTCAATATGAACATTGATGTTTGTTTTAAATACAAAAAGAGTAACAACGACATATTAGATAATGACAAAATACGTCGTTTTTACTCGACAAATGACTTGTTAGCAGTTATTTAGAAAATAAATGTTTAAAACATRAAATTATATTTTTATTTTTAATTCTGCTGGATGGACATTGTGTATTTTTAGTAAAACTTGCGGTTTGGAAGCCAAATAAATCTCATGTTACAARCTTCAACAATGAGCAMCATTCAGACCAATAAATGATACATAGACTGCATTTACACAATCAACCAGGCTTCTCAAAGTACTTAACAACACAGTCTGTCTCCTCATTTATCCATCCACACACTTTTATGCACAACGTTTGTAATTGTGTAATTCTTTTACTGTTGATTTAGAGCCCTCATAGGTCCGGCCCTGCTTACTAGAACAACTAGAAGGCAACACTAGGAGCACAATGGACCAACAAGACACAGAATTTAAAGAGTGTAACTTATAAAGGGAAATGAGTCATACCTGGGAAGAGACGAGGATCAGGTGTGGGAGGTGCTGGGGAAAGACACAAAGCACAGAACGGAAAATGAACAGAATAAACAAAGCATAGTTCCTCACAAAAAACACATCAATTAAAAAAAAACTTTTTCCAAATGTAATCACATGAAGATGCTGAAAGTGTGTAAAAATCAYACAGGAARCATGAGCCAAACACGTTTCACAGGTAAAAATATATTTTTTATATGTGATGGTCATGTTTTTCTGTAAGGGATGATAAAAAGTCAAACGTTTTTTTTTTTTTAACAGAAGACTCTCCATGACCTAGACAATCAGATAAACATCTGTCCATGTATCAGCCTGCTCTGTTGGAAGCCACCTTGTGTGTCCTGTCAGGTTTTTAGCACCATCATGATCTCAACAGGAACACAAACACAGTCGTCTGCATCAGGACCTCGTAATTATTCTAATAAATTTTTTTGAATCCAAAATCCTAATGTTTTGTTTACACATCAACCAGTTGCGTTCAAAACTTCATCCTTAACCCAAACGAGAGATACCCCAGGAATGATGTTCTGCTTCACTGGGACAGGACTTTGGATTGCCAGCTCCAGGTTACAAAACACACGTGCCTCCTTCTTCCGATGAACTTTAAAACTTATTAATATTTGCTGACACAAGGACCAAAATACCTCATGGTACAAACACTCACATGGTTCTAAACCAGTCCCATAAAAACATCTCTATCTGTATTTTACACACTCAGGTGCAGCTCTCCAGTCTTGATGAATGAATCGTCGTCACCAGAGAAAAATATTTCAGACTTCCACATCCTTACTGACCTATTATTTTACATCTCTCAACTCATTCTTTTAGTGTTTTGCCTGTTGATTGACATGAGTGTTGTGCTTTCTTATTCTTTCACTGTTACCACCAGCAGGAGGAAGTTTTTCTTCTCTAAACGCCACTGAGGGAAGCATCAATCTAAGCTCTGACCAAACATTTTCCTTTGTCGTGAACTTGTCTTTCAGTGGGCACATAATGAGATTTACCTAACCTGCTTCAAGAATTCATGTAAGTGATGTGGCCATAAAGACCAGTTTTAAATATGAAGGTCRTYGTACCCAACAAGCTTTAGTTTCTGATTTTATCCTAAAACAACTTTCCGCTTGTTCCACCAAGTTCATTCACTCATGCAGTGGGTCCAACGAGTGAACCTGTGGAAGTTATGCTGGTGGACAAAAGTGCTGAACGGTCAATAAATAATTATTAGCTCTCCTTGAACGGTTGAATGAATTCTGGGCGGTTGGCAAATGTGTTTGCTGCATGACCGGTTTCACCTGTTCTCCCA